TGTTCACCCTCCCGCACGATGGAGATTTTGCAATTATTACACTAAAATGAAGCGACCTGAGGTGAAATTCTTGAAAATGTAAAAAAAAAAATTTTTTTTGCTTGGGGGGGTTTGTTCGAACCCCCCGAACACCCCCCCCCCACCTGGCTACGGGCCTGTATATTATACATGTCTTACGTAATGTTCATTCGTGCAGAGCAGTGACATCATCCGCTTTATGTTTCGTCTAGGATTCCTGCTTCGGATTCCCGTTTTTGATGCTCCACGAAATAACCAGATCTTCGACGACGATCAATTCTGGGAGGTACCGGAACCGGAAATCGTCATGCATCCATCAGACAATAATCAGGAGCGCCAACCTCTTGACGTTTCCAAGATGTAATATCAAGATGTTAACAATAATCTAATATTTGCTCAACTTATAATCTAATATAACGCATCAAGATCTAGCGTTTATACACAGCACCGCGTGCTGCTGCTGATGGCGATGATGATGACGTGTACGTAGGAACATCCGCTGTTTAGTAACGACACCAGAAGGCATTGACACCGCTAATATTCGCGCGTGCATATAACATATTAATTATCAGCTAACGGGTAATTAGTATTAGCGTAGTAACCGAGTGCAATACTTCTATGTTACAATGTATATATCTCACAAACGACGCTTGTTTGCATAGTTATAATCATGTCAAGCGTGAATAGTACAGAACTTTTTTGTTTTTATTCACTATTCGCACGTGCACGATGGTCGTTTTATATCAAATGCCGTTCGTAATAATTGCATAAGAGAGAGGCGGGGTGGGTCCATTTCTCTAGGTAAGAAAATATTCTAGTTTCCAGTGCAGCAATTTGTATAACAATGCGTCTAATTTCTTACAACGTAAAATACGTAGCTATATTTAATATCGAATGACATAACATTTTTACTTAAATACGCGTCACCTATAATATTTTGTTAAAGACGAGTTTAAAACTCAATAAACTGTATAGCGTTTGCTTGCTGCTGTTAAACTGATATGACGCAACGCCACTCACAGACGCTCACGAATACACAGGGTAGTGTACTTAGACGCGAAAACAAACATCTGGGGTTTTACAGAGCGTTATTATCAGGGGTTAATAACGACAAATTTGTCATTATTACGTAAGTATATAATTATTTATATGTACTATGTAATTATGTAAAATTTGTCATTATTAACCCCGTTATTATGTTCGTCCAAAACCCATCATAACAGTTAGCTGTGCTGTGATAAAGGGATCCCACCACGGACACAGCTAGCGGGGGTAGGGGGGGGGTTAGAGGGGAGGGGGAAGGGAGTTACTGCTAGACCAATGTATAGATTACCTGGAGTATATGAATAGTTAATTACACCTGATATTATCAGGAGTGTCATAACATAGATCTATAGATCTATAGATTTGATATATAGATAATAGTCTATTATGACGCTTCTGATTATTATTCCACGACAATTAGCGAACTGTCCACGGTCTACCAAGAACCCAAACTGTATATGGCTTTGCCCCCTCCCCCCCCAGCAGAACAGGCAAGGCGAGTTATCTACGAGCCCTGGATCCTGGGGTCAAAGGATGGGATCCACATACACGATTCTCTTCGCACTCAGTGTGACTTTAACGTGACGTGTGTGTGTGTGTGTGTGTGTGATTTTAACGCTCAGCAAGACTCATGAATCAAAGTAGCAAATTGGGAAATTAGGAAATAAAAGATGCTTTTTTTGTACCAAACTTCAATTCGGTTCAATTTCTTTTCATTGTCGATTTGCTTTACTCGAGCGAGGTGCCCGCGATTATGTACAACCTTCACTATTATTATCACTGTAACAGGCATTTAGCATTCGATACGATAACCTTATCTCGGTCTAGCTGTCTACTATAATTCTATTTCTGAACAAGCATTGCGACAATTCAACCTGCACACGAAAAAGAAAGAACAATGTGCAGATGTATCAAAAGTTTGAAACACGATCGTATTTTTTACTTGCACGTACATCAGTTCAACGTTGTTCAACAAATACACAAACGTCCGTGCTACAATTACAGATTTACAATTCATTCGACACTAATGTATCATACAAGGGTTCGTTTTTCAATGTCGGCAATTTGCTCGGCAGGGGCGTGTACAGAATTTGTACCAGGGGAGAGGGGGGTCTAACCGTAACCCAAAGTTGCGAGCACGCGAAGGGGGGTCAGGGGGGGCCCTCCTCCCAGAAATTTTTTAAAATAAGACCCTCTCAGATGCGTTTTCTGCGCGAGCAAGGGGGGGTCCGGTCTCCCTGGACCCCCCC